AAWTYCYYYTTYYWAAAAAAAAWTTTAATTGTATCATAYAGGTGCAAAGAAAACAACTAAACCTCTACACCTGACTCACAGCAAAATGTTTGTAAATTCAGATTCAGGTGGCAGAGTAAAACAGGGGAAGAGGGGATTTTGTGAAGTCCTGTTTTCCTMGGGTGGAAGAGCTTCTCAGCTGCCTCCTGTCATCACTTTCCACAGAGGAAATGAGGAAGGAATGAGCAGTGATGATTTGGGGAGTCCCTCACCCYMTTTTCTGCATCTAAACCCAGCTGGTAGCTCAGTGAGCTGTTTCTTAAAATCACAGAATCCTTTCATTTGGAAAAGACTCCTGAGATCATCAAGTTCAACCATTAAACCAGCACTGCCAAGGCCACTTGTGTCCCCAAATCTACCCCTTTTTTAAACACTTGCAAGGATGGTGACACCTCCAGGAGTCATTTCAGGCACAGCAGGACAGCGTGGGGACCACTCGGATATCACTTCCCGTTTCTCCTGGACTGCACTAGTGGTTTATTCTCCCTTTTCAGAGCGGCAAAATCCAAGTCACGCTTGATGGGCACATCCTGCACCCATGAGGATGGACACAGGTCCCAGCAGGGCCCTGAGAGCAGAGGGATAAAGGCCTGAGACAGGAGGATCCTTGCAGCTGGACCTCACCCACAGCTCTGCAGGTACATCCCTGACCCGCCTGGAAGGGGAGAAGCCAAAGAGATTTAAGTCCGCGCTCACGGTTAGGAACGTTTTCCCCAACCAGACCACATGAAAAAAGCAAATATTTGCTAGAATGAAAGTGTCAAATGCTTGGCAACTCTCCCTCTGCCTTGTTTTATTTTGTTCACGGGGGCTTCAACCAGTTAATAACTGTGTGATCCATGGATTTAYGTCCTTTCGGTCAGGGAGGTGGGATAATCCTGTGCCAGCTCAAAACAAACACACKGATTTCTTCCTAAACAAAATTTGAATCAAGGAGAAAATGGGAGAAGCTCCAAGGAGCATTTTTGAAAGTTAGCATTAGTTTCATTTTGGCTCCAAACATTACTTCAAAAAGTAGAAGCCACAGCATCTAATTTCAAAAATGCACAAAGACGTGGTTTGATTTTTTTCAAATTGCTACCTTCTGTTGTCATTTTTTTTGTTGAGTTCAACATAAATCATTTCAGTTGACCTGAAATGCTATTTTTGACAAATGTATGCTTTAAAAAAAAAATTTAAAAAAAGAGAGAAAGAAGAAAGGAAAGAGAGTCCCATTCTTTAGCCTGTGTGTGTGCAACACCACTAATTTTTAGTTGTTGGCTTTCTGCTAGAGATAATCGCACCGAAAAAATGTCTGAATAAATTATTCTTCTTACAAGTGCATCAAAAGGGCTGACAGAAAGAACAAGAAAATTAGACACTGTATCAAAAAAAAAGAAAAAATATAAAGTGTGAATAGATAGGAACCACTGGAAAGATTTATTGAAGCAGAGCACGGGCATCAATACTTGGACGCTTGCATCACCAAAGCCTGCTTTGCATTCAGGTTTCCCACCTCCTGGCACTGCCTATGTGCTCCCTGTGATCCAAAAAATACAAATTAAAGAGCCTMATTTTTATCAGGGAGAGTTTGGAGTGAGCTCAAGAACAAGCAGTCCTCGCTTGGAGCTGGTGTTCCAGTTCCCTCCTCGCCGAGAGCAGCGCTGGTGCCCCGGGTAARCAGGCTCCAAGGCCTGGGGGATGGCTGCTCCATTTCTTCATTAAATAATTCTGACTCATGAACACATCAGAAAACTTGCATTGTGCCCTCTGACAGTTTACCTCCAGAAAGGCAAAGTTTGTCCAAGAAATCCTTTTGTGCAAATCATTCACGCGGCATTAGTCGTGTTTGTCCCTTCCTCGCCAAGACAGCTCCAGGAATTTGTGTTATTTTCACTGCYTTCCCCTCCACCCTCATCTATCCTGACTGAGTGAACTCGCAACTTTATCTCATCTTCCTGGAGGATCGAGACAGAGCTGCTTCTTCTGGCCAAGAAGAATGSCCTTAAAGGCAATTTTCATCCTTTTCTTTTCTTTTACAGACAACCTAAATGTCCCTKATACCCCAGTCTCGGCTGGCTTTTGGCCTTCAGAGGGGTCTGACCAAGAATGAATAAAGACATGACTGGAAGGTCAAACCTTACTGGTCTTATATATTTTTTATATAATCTTTTATATGTATATGTATGTACACGCACCTCCAATGCTTTTATTTATATAGCTCTGACCATTTCTCTTTCCCTTCTGATTTTTTGCAAGCCCACATGTMAAAAGATGATAAAAATGCCCCTAAAAGCAGCCTTAAGTTGCTCAACCCTGCACATTTCTGGGCCCACATTTCTGAGCACACACCTTCTCAGGTCACATACSGGGGCAAGAAACCAGTTTTTCAGGAATTTTTCCAGGCAAGAGAGAAATGCTCTAAACATCTGATATTTCCCTGTCTCCCTTCAAACCCCAGCGTATTTCAGGCAGATCTGCACATTTACATCCGACTGCTTAGCGGGGAGCTGTTTCTGAGCCATATCCATATAGTTTCTTCTGACATAAATATGAATTGAGGTTATGGCCCAGTATGATCTTCCCAGGAAAAAAGTGGAGATTACATCAATGTGACCCATTAAAGCAATCTTAAATACCCACTGATGGTTCATTATTGCAAGTTACTTTCCTTCCTGATGCAGAATTTATTCAATATATTGGAAGGGGAAAAGGTCTCCAGGAAAGCATTGCCTGTGCASTGCATTAATAAAAAGGGACGGCGCAAGGCATGAGCTTGACAAGTTGGATGAGGGGTTTCCATTTACACAACCCCAGTGGATGAATCAAAATCCTCCTCCTGAAGGGCACGGAGGCTAAAAGGAAAACTTTAATTAGGTTKCAGCCAGGTGAGGTTCAGGCTTTTCTCCCAAGGAAAAAGGGACAGGATGAGAGGAAATGGCTTCAAGGTGCACTGGGGGATGTTTAGATTGGATATTAGGAAAACGTTTTTCACTAAAAGGGAGGTCAGGCATTGGAACAGGCTGCCCGGGGAAGTCATGGAATCACCATCCTTGCAAGTGTTTGACAGAGGTGTAGATGTGGTGCTTGGGGACACAGGTGGCCTTGGCAGTGCTGGTTTAATGGTTGGATTCGGTGATCTCAGGAGTCTTTTCCAAATGAAAGGATTCTGTGATTTTAGGAAACAGTGCACTGAGCTGCCAGCTGGGTTTAGATGCACAAAAGAGGGTGAGGGACTCCCYRAAYCATCACTGMTCATTCCTTCCCCATTGCCTCTGTGGAAAGTGGTGACAGGAGACAGCTGAGAAGCTCTTGCACCCAGGAGCTCTTTGCATCTTTCACAAAATCCCCTCTTCCCCTGTTTTACTCTGCCTCTGCAAYCTGAATCTGAATTTACAAACATTTTGCTGTGAATCGGGTATAGAGGTTTAGTTGTTTTCTTTGTACCTATAGGATACAATTTTAAAAAAATCTTTTTGAAGGAGAGTTTGTGCTATGGAAGAAAAAACCTCTCAAACCCAAGGCTGAGAGAATCACAGAATTATAGAATCACAGAATCATTCAGGTTGGAGAAGTCCTCCAAGATCATTGACTGCAACCTTTGACTGATTATCACCTTAAAACTGCACCAGAGCAGTGAGTGCCACATCCAGTGGTATCTTGAAYAATTGCAGGGACGGTGAACCCATCAGCACCCTGGGCAGCCTTTTCCAATGCCTCACAACCTTTCCTGTGAAATTCTTCCTAATGACCAATCTGAGCCTGTCCTGGTGCAGCTTGAGGCKGTTTCCTCTCATTCTGTCCAGAGAACATGAGCACTTTTCTGGTTTTTGCCCCCTGCAGACACCCAAAGGTGCCCCAAAGGGCCAGGAGGCTCCTGGGGGTACCTCTGTCCCAAATCCTCGAGAGGAGTTCGGGCAGTTTGTGGGTTGCAGCCACAAGGAAAGATGTGACACATCTTCCACTCATCCACAGTATTGACAAAACATAAAATATGAATGCCAGAGAACACAGAGTTCTCTTTGAAGAGATTAATTTGGGTACTTTGCCACATGGAATGGGTCAGGGAAAAGGTTTTCAGCATGAGGCAGAGGGTTTTGTTCCAGGGAATAAGGATTGCCCTTCTTTCTCTTCACACCCTGCGCTTCTGCTTGCAGTGCCTGCCCCCAGCTCCACAGGCTCCCAGAACATCTGGGGTTGGAGGGGCTTTGGGATGTCTTCTCCTCCCTCTGGCCCAAAGCAGGTGCTCCTCACCTTCTCAAAAAGCTACTCCCCACTGTCACACTCCTCATCCCCACCATCACCCACTGTGAAACTGGGGACACCTGCCCAGAGGAAAGAGTGCAGGGAATAAACACCAAATTGAAGCCTGCCTTTCCATTCCCAAAAATTTCCAGCTGCGTCCGCTTCTTTATTTTCTCCAATTCTCCTCCAATTTTCCATCTTCATGCACCTAATTAATGAGTCAATTCATTAGAATTTTTTTCAGCAGAATTCTCTTCCCATCAATAAAGCGGCCATGCCAAATTTTAGCCTTAATTTTAAACAATAGCTTTTGTTTCAAAGCTTTCTGCAGAGAAAACAGCTCGAGACCAAAGACTTCTCYGTCTCTTCACAAGACAATTATTCAGAATGCTATCAGCAAATCTTCATCTCCGAGGAGRATTTCTCCCAACACAGTCCACCCACCTATACATGCACTCAGGACTACAATCAATAYATGTTAATTAAGCTGTAGCCCACTCCAATTAAAATTATAGGATCTGAAGGACAGACATTTGTTTTTGTCAGTAAATTAATTTAAGCATTCATTAACTTTAATTTTTAAATTATATATCACTTTAATGATAAATAATTCCTCTCATTACAGAGGAAACATATGGAAGGGAAAGATAAGATGGGAGAGACTTGGACCCAGGGAGGAATATGTTCTCCGGCGCTTCCTTCTCCTTCGGCACATCAGCAACCCCATTTATGTCAGCAAACTGGGCTCTTTTGAAAATTTGGCTGGCAAGTGCAACGCTGAAATGAGAACAGAGATTCTTTGAGTATCTCACCTCCTTCTCTGCTGGGAACATGAAAGCTYGGCTGTGAAATCTCAGGGTTTTAGAATAGCTGAAACTTTGCACAGGCTACCAAAATAAACACTTTTCGACGGAAATCAAAATATTACCACGTTTACAGGTTTTTTAATTTATGTAGAAARGGGCAGGTTGTTTTGCAGCTTAACCCTTCCTGCACATATGTCAGGCAGGGAAGGGTGATTTTAAAAGTGGTGTTTGTGTAGTGTCCTGCACTCTGAGTTAAACCTTTCGTGGCTTGCTATTAATTAAATATGGAGCATGTCAGCAATATTTGAGGCCTTCTTTTCCCAGCAGATGCTGCATGGAAAATTATCTGGGCTGCTCCAAAGAAAGGTTTGAACCCTCAATACCTGCCAGACTGTCCCAGAGCTCACCTATCAGCACCCATCACACCCTCACTGGGAATTCTCCCTGCTCTGCTGCAGGRACATCCCAAAATCTCTTCCTGCTGTACTCAGGAGTGCCTGACATCCCAAAAGGCTCTGAGATCAGCAGGTCTTCACCCCACCAAGCACATCCTCGCAGTGCTTCCCAAAGCTGGGGCGCTGCATAAATAGCAGTGCTGCGTTCTGAGCCTCCTCCACACTGACCGTGCCTGGGACCTGTCAAATGACAGAAATCAAAATAGATTGACTGAATAAATTATTCACCCGAGGGTGTTTTTACTCCTCAAACCCTGTGCTGGACTGGTAAGGACTGATCAGCTTCACAGCTGATGGTGGCAAACAAAGAGCAAAACAAAATTATTCAGGGGATTGACTGACAAAAAAAAAAAGGAGCAAGGAAAGCACCATGTCTCAAGYTCTTGGGAGCTTTACACCTGCAGTGCAATTCCAGACTCTTCTGACCATATTTCTTCCTTTGAAACAACTGCTCATTCCTCTTCCCAGGCTGATTTTGCAGTTATCAACAMAAACCATTCCTGCTGGGTTTTTAGGACACTGCACCTGCTACAAACTCCTGGGAGACAGGGAGAAAGAGTCCCTRTCTGAGCCCTGCTGCACAAGCTCTGTTCATAGACACCTCCCTCCTGCCTTTAATCTAAGACCCAAAATAGGACAGGGTCAGTGGCCCAGGGAGGAGTTCCAGAGATAACCCAGGACTCCCAGCATCCAGACAAGTAACAACTATTCATACCCACATTGAGCAGAGCAGAGCACCCCAGCCTTCTCAGAGCCAAAATTCACTTTTTCCAGCTCATCTGCCTCTCGACATCTCCTGTCTCGCACCGTGTCAGCCCCTCCACCCTACAATGCCAAAATTAACTGCGTTCCCTTCTCAAGATCCACACCCTTCCCTCCCCCATGGAGAAGCAGCCCTGGCAGCGTGGCTTTGCTGAAGGCAAAGGGATTCCTCCTGCCAGGAGAAGCCCTGCTGCCCCAATTCCCACCTGTCAGTATAAACGCAAGCAGGGGATAACCCAGGGCTTTGAGCAGGTGCAGAGTTGGACCTGCAGATTGGAAAACTTCTTTAGGAGGAACACACAGGACCTACACAATGCAGGAGGTTCTACCAAAAGGGAAATTGGGCAGTGAAAGAGAAACGATGCAAAATATTATATTAATACTTTGTTTGCTTAACTACTGCAAAGACTAAAAAAAAAGCTTTCTCCCCATTTATCCATTAGCTCCTCTTCTATCCAGCTCTACTGCTGAATTCCCATATTTGTGACATCAATGCATGTTGCTATAGAGATAATTAATTAATGCAACATAATCAAGTCAGCAATTTTACTACTTTACAGGTTAACATAGGACTRGAAATAGAGTGGGGAAAACACCAAGGCTTAGTTCTGAAAAGCAGGATTTTTAATGGTGCTTTAASCACTGAGAGTTGGGCCTGAAAATCATTTCCACAGCACATGAAATGCGCCCCATTTGGCATAATCACTGTCATTAGAAGCCCAGAGAAAAATTAGAAAAATAGCAATGAAGAGGAATAAAAGTTCTGACAAAAAAAATTGCAGGTGGTGRRCAGAGCTCTCCGAGCAGCCAGCRAAACTCTTCWTCTCCACCTGGCAAAAATTCACCARTTCAACYGGCATCTGCCCAAAGAGGCTGCAGGCTGTGATGTGTTGTGCCTAACCCCAAATATTCAGGGCTTTTTTTCCAACAGCCACCCCAAAAATCATCTTTCCTGGGATGCCTCCTTTTCTGGAAGAGCAGCTCTTTGTGGCACCTCCTGAGTGAGCTGATGATGAGAAGGGGGTTGAGATGACCTCTCTGCATCCCAGAAGAGTCGATATGATGCTCAGCTGGGAGCTGGTGGCTTTTTTCATCAGAGCCAGGTTATCCTGCCTGTCACACGTGGGCCACACCAGGAGGCAGGAGGTGAGAGCAGGCAYTTCCACCTCTCTCACCCACAGCTCCCTCCTGACAGTCAGGCTGACATTTACAGCTGACAAGGACATCAGTGCCCTGTCAATGTGTCCAAACAAGACAACTCTGTGTTGGGAGCTGTAACTCCGCCCAGGAACTCGCCTTCCTACCAAGAAATTGGCCAAAAAAAGGATGCACTGGAACATCCTGTATGTAACTCCACCCTTTTCGTAATTGAGAAGATTAAAATCAGTCCCTTTATTTTTTTTTGTCCTGTGCTAATTAGAATCTTTTTATATACTTTTCAGTTCAGGGTCTCTGCCTTCTGAGGTTAGAAAGACGAAAGCAGCACAGATGAAACTAGGTCACTTAACCCTCAGGATATTCCCATTCCTCAGCAAAAGTTGCACCACACACAGTGGAGCAAAAGGGAGAAAGGTTTAAGAGACACATGCAGAATAATTGAGCCAAAGGCTGTGTTTTGAGAACAAAAGTGACATCAACAAGCCACRTTTGCCTTCCATATCCACGAAGTTTTGTCAGGTTGTGGTATTTCCATGGCAAGTTTCACCACCAAGCTGTAACTGAAGATACCTACACTTCTCAGAGAACTGCCCAGTGAAGAAACAACCAAGCAAATGGTTATTAAAATATAATTTAGTAGGAAAATCAGCAGGCCAGAACACTGCTGCACAATTTATAAGCCATGTCTGCAATACACAAAAGCAGAAGGATTTCTCACAAGAGCACGGAGAGATGGAAAAAGGAGAAAAATGGCCTTAAGCTGAAGGAGGGARGGTTTAGATGGGATATTGGGAAGGAATTGTTCCCTGGGAGGGTGGGCAGGCCCTGGCACAGGGTGCCCAGAGAAGCTGTGGCTGCCCCTGACAGTGCCCAGGGACAGSCTGGACAGGGCTTAAAGCAACCTGGGACAGTGGAAGGTGTCCCTGWCCATRGCAGGAGGTGGAACTGGATGARCTTCAAGGTCCTTTCCCACTCAAACAATTCCATGTTTCCACACACTATTTCAATTAAAGCATGGAAAATGCAGCTTTTATGTTGCATCCACATACAACACAGTTGAACAAAATTAGGATAAGAAACCACCCAAGTATTAAACACATTGTGATCTGTTTAGAGACTCCAGCATCRGGATAAATTGCACGGAGTCACTAAAATCCAGAGCTTATTGCACACCATCTGCAGGCAGAGAGAGTCCTCTATTCCCATGCCAGAGCTGTTTTCCTGGCAGGCTGCTGCTTGACCTGTTGCAAGACTTTTGGTGCCTGCCTGCAGCAGAGTTCCAGAGGAGACAGACCCACCACAAGGAGTCAGTTCAGCTGTGGAAGGATAGGGGCAGAAACCTGTAGCACAATTTTCCTGTGATATCCAAGCCACTGGAATATTTGCCTGATSCGCACAAAATCCAAAGGAAAAACCCACTCTTGCAGCCACCAGCTGCTGCTGCAAAGGTTTATAACTGGAATAAAGAGAGAACGCATCCTCCCTAAAGCCAGACRACAGCCCAACCCAGATAGAGGCAAGAAATCATCTCTGCTGAGAGCAACAATGAGCAATTTGGCTTGATTATATCCTTGCAGATCTTCCTATTTATAATGGTTCGCATTATTTTGAATGCAAACTGGTGGGGCTTTTTTTTTTCCCCCTGTGCATCAGCTCTCATGACCAAAAGTTGTCATTAGCTCCTGATTAAAAAGGATTTTAAATAAGGAGTGGAAACAAGCACAAGAAGTGCTGCTGTATCAGATTGACTGCTGCAAATGTCAGTTTTATTTACTGATTGGAGTTCACTAAGCTTTGTTTTWCTTTCAGTAGAGGAAAAATTAGGAATGCTGGATCAGGTAGGAGAAAAAAACAGCAGAGGAGAGATAAATAAATAAACAACCACGGGGTCCATGTGCCCAGGAGGGTGCTGGAAGGTTATACTTGCAACATACATGCAAGTTTGCCCATAGATGCAGCAAACAAATTAAATAAGCTTCACTAGTGAGAGCCTGACCTTTTCCATCTTCCCCCAAGCAGAAATCAGGCTGTGATGGGGACCAAAAAGAGGGTTAGAAACAGCAAAGATAATMAAGTCAGGCAGCAGAAGCACAAGAGGCTGAAGGGAGAAGACAGACAGGTGAAAGGACAACCTCAGGAAAAGCTGAAATATTGCAAGTCATTCTCTATCACCAAAATACCACGAGACAACCTATGCCAGTAAAATATTGGCAGGGGAGGACAAGGCCAGGAGAGCCCAGGAGAGCCCAGGAGTTCCATTTCCATGCTGGGAGGAGGAGCTGGCTCCATTTCAGCCATGGCCCTGCTCCTTTTGGCACATGTTCRCTGTGCAATTTCCAGAACAGAACAGAACTCCCCTCTAGCAAGGAGCAGGCAGACACCAAACAAGATTAGTTTGAATTTTCCAGTCTCAATGGCATCCAGACCAGGGAATACATCACTGATTATTCCAAGTGGTGGGTTCCTAACCCCGCTGACAGCCCACCCTCAGCCCTGGGGAGGTTCTGTACTCACAGCCACCGATTCCTCCGGTGCACAGAGAACCCAATGCTGAGCTGGGCCACCCCATCAGCACAGGGCACTGCCTGMAGTACAT